CGGGGAGGCGGCTCTGACTCCCGGAGCCCGCACGCCGGGAAAGGCAAGGACGGGGCGGCCGGCGGAGGGGCTGGCGCCTCTCATCAGCCACGCCAGTCACGTCTGGGCCACCGGCTGCCTTTTTCTTTCTTCCCCCCTTTGCTTTCTCCCCCTTCCCCTGTTGGCGAGGGCAAAGTGGCCGTGGCGGCGCCATGCCCGGGCCGGAGTGAGTGCGCGCGGGCGAAAATGGCGTACATCCAGGTAGGGCTGAGGCTGGGGGGCAAGGTCCGCGGTGTGGGTGGGGGGTGCCGCGCCCCTCTGCCTGTGAGCGCGCGGAAGGAAGGGCGCACGGTTAGGCTCGCACAAACTTGCCTCGAGAAAAAGGGTGCCTGAGCGCAGGCACCTGTGCAGCGGCGGGGACGCACCCCACGAGAAGAGGCTGGGGACCCCCAAACCCTGGGCTGAAGGGCCCCGTGTGGACTCTGCAGGCACGCCCTCGCCTCCTGGGGAGTTGGTGGGGGTGGGGTGGGGCGGACTTTCTCTGCGCTACCCCTCCCCCTCCCGCTTGCACCCCACCCCCGGGGAGGGGCCGCGGGGAGGGTGGCCCGGGGCGAGCCAGCCGCCCGGCCCGCCAGCTGCCGTTGCCGTGGTGACGGCTCCGGCTAATTGGCCGGCTGAGCGAGCCTGAGGCAGCTGTTCCGGCCAGGAGGGACAAGGACGTCGTCTCTCCCAGGCACTGGGTGCTGAGGGTTGGGGGACACCCCAAGGCGTCAGAGACGTGCTGCTGTTGGTGGGGTCAGCCGATTATTTGCGGCCATTGCACAAGGTGTTGGCAGTTGTGAGCCCCCGCCACCTTGGGGAAACTCCCCCAAGAATGCTTGGGCTGAAATAATATTCAAGCATCTTTTTTTGGGGGGGGGGCATTGGGGAAGGGAGGACTGCTTGATTAAGAGACCTTTCGCCTCAATCGAAAGGGGGAAGCAGTGACAGGTCGGCGCCAAGGTCAAGCAGTCAGACCCGCGTAGCCGCTTGGTTCTGGGACTGATTCCTCTGAGCCCGAGCCCCGAGCCGGGGTTAAAAGCCTGCAGACTCCCCCATTCCAGGGACATCTGGACTCACTTCTTTCCTGGGCCACAGCTGGGGGGCTGCTGGCGCCCCCTCCCTCTGGCTTCCACCCGCCCTCATCTGGTGCTCAGACTTCTCAGCCTGCTGGGAACTCTTGTCGCCTGGCATAACCTCCCCCTCCCTCTCTGGCTTAGAGGAGACCCTGACTGTCCTTTTAGAACTCCTGGGTCCTCTGTTCAAGTTTGGCCAAGGTCTCATTTACGTCCACCTACTGTGTGCTGGATGTGGGGGGCGGTGCTTTTCTCCCATGGATCAACAATACCTGCTTAGCTACCTACTATGTGTGGGCACTGTGGATATAGCCGTGAAAACGGCAAGGTCCCTGCCCCTCAGAATACGGTCTAGTGACTGAGGAGCCTTGGAACCTTAAAACTGCCTTCAGCACAAGACATTAAGTCACTTGCCCAGCCAAGGCTATGCCACTCATGGAGATCCTGGTGCCCTCCAAAGAGGGTGTGGGGAATGTTAAACATCCGAGTGAGCATGGCCTGGCCACGTTGGCTGGCTTTTTTCTGTGAAGGACCAGCGGATTGTTTCTTTGAGGTTCCTAGTCTGTGTCAAGGCTGACTTTGGTGCTGAACAGCCCTGGGTTATCAAGGACCAGCGGGCCGGGCTGTGTGCCTATAAAACTTTATTGTGAGCACTGAAACTTGAAGTATTCCTCTCCCTTTGGCTTTTTCCACCCGTTCCGTGAAGATGTACAAAGCATTCATAGCTGACTGGCTTTCCAAAGCAGGCCGGAGACTCCCCAGCTTGCTGACACCTGCTGTAGAATATCTGGGTTTTCTTTCTGTTTCTTCCTGACTTGAATCAGTCTCCACCACAGGACCAAACAAAGTGAGTTAAGATTTCAGCTTTCTGGGTTTATTTGTGCCCCCTGCCTGGGCCTGGGGGTCCAGATGATGGTTTCTTTGCAGGGACTCTGAGGCCGGTTCTGCTCATCCTGGTTTTGTAAATGTTTTGCTTCTGATCAACAGTGCTTAGCTAAGATTTCCCCACGTTAAGAGAATGGGTATGGGCTATGGAAAAGCAGCGCTTAATTCTTGTGCTTTATCAGGAGCATTTTTTGAAGTACTCTCTCCCGCAACCACACGAGGGCACATAGCTTTTTGCTGCTTTGTTCACGGCTCGATGGGCCAGGACAGTCCCTTGTGCCAGCGGTTCCCATTGGTCTGGACAAATCACCTTGTTCTCACAGCCATCGAAAGGGGACAGATGCTTTGCAGCTGGAGAGCACACACATCCATTCATTGTTCGAGTGCACTGACTTAGCCTTCCCGCTACAGAAAAGGGCCAGAGTGACCCCCCCCAACTTGCCCAAATCACAGGACTGGCGCTTCTCCACTCTCCTGTCCGCATGCCCCCCACCCCAGGTCTTGCCCTTTTGGGGGGTGGAGTTTTGCTGTGGCGGAGTTTATGATTTCGTCTTTGCTTTCCTGCTGCAGACATTCCCTCACCACTTGGGGGATTTTGAATTTTTCATCAGCTGTCTACCACCCTGTTATTTACTTAATATTTTCTCAGAAAATGGAATCACTATTTGCCTTTGTTAAAAAGGAAACTTTATGTCACCTCCATACTAGAAAATCAGGAGCACTCGATGTCCATAGAAGGCAACTGGACAAATTAACACGATGCCCCGTTACTAAATTCTCGCTGGATGAGCAGCCTCTGCGGTGCTGGGTCTGTTCTTTTTGTGTAAAAAGGGAGGGGGGATTTCCAGCGTTTGAAAGCCGGTAGCAGGGTGCCAGATGGAGACTGTCTCTGAAAGAGAACTGGAAAAGGAGATCTTTCTCCGCCTTGGATCAAAGTTCCAAGTTTGTGTTCCATCTCCGGAAGGTCCCAGGCTGGGATGGGGCCTCCACCTAGCCCACCACACTTACTGGTCCATCTGGGCAATGCTCGGGATTTCCTAGGAGAGGGGGAGGGTGTCTCTGAGAAGACGGCTGAGGGGTGGGGCCAGGGACAGGAGGCAGCCCCTCCCTCCCCAGGACCAGATTGTGCCTGCCTTTCGGGCTCCCTCCATTTGTGGGTGGTCTTAGGAAGCTCCCCACCATCACCACTGGAGCAGCAGTGGGAGGCAGGGAGGCGGGGAGGCGGGGAGCTGTGCCATGCACCCTGCCTGCTGCACCCACCATGTCCATTGGGTTGACTTCATGGCTATTTCTGAATAGGGAAGCTTTGCGCCCTCAAGTGTGGCTGCATCGGACAGCATGACTATCTATCCCCTCGCTCTGATTCATGACAACATACGGTGCAAATCAAATCGAAATGCTAAACTTTCCCATCTATTCGGTGTTGGTTAGCCAGGAGGCTACCAGCAGCTCTGAAGATAGCAACACCTTGTTAGCAAGTCAGCTCCCTTTCCAGGATGGTAAGTGGAAAGATGCAGGCTTTTTTTTTTTTTTCCTCCTGGAGTTGCTGGAATATTGCTAAACTGGTTTTGTCTCTCTCTCTTTTGAAACCCCCTCACTCCCTACGCCCCTTGGCTTCATCCCGGATCTTAAAAGGGCAGCTGGAACCTTTAAACGAGGTGAGTTCACGGGCTAATGTGTCTGGTCTGGTTTCTAACCCAGAAATGCTCGCCGTTCATTTCCGAGTCTTCTGTGGGGCTGTGGGGATTTTGATAGGAAGCAATAACCAAATGTTGATAAGGACACATTTTGATGCTTTTCCACGCCAGGGAGATTCCCGGGTGAAAGGACACCCCCTTGACGAGATGGGCTTCCCTCCCCACCCCCTTCTTATTCCGTTGGATGATCTCTGTTTACTGTCATGTCACTGAGATGATTAAAAAGAATTTTTTTTTGGCTTTGCTTTCGAGAAGACGGTAATATTTCTTATGTCTCTCGAACATATTGTGTGGCCCTCACCGTGCGGTGTGCACCGCCCACATGTCGACAAAGACGTCCACAAAAACTACAAAAGAAAAGAAAATACCTGCGAATGTTTTGCTCGCTATTAACGGCTGCAGGAGTTGGTGTTTGCCATCTTTGTGCCTGCAGTTGGTAAATAGAAATGGAAAACATTTTGTTCTAAGTGTTCAGCCTCGGATACAGACCTCCTGCATGTCATTATTTCTCATCAGGCATCGGCTTAATTTTGGGTGTTTTTCCTCCCCCTCCTCTCCGCCCTTCTAACCTCCTGTCTCTCCCCTGCCCACCTCCCCCAATGGCCTCAGGGTTTTCTTTCTAGAATCTCTGATCTGCTGCTGTGCAGACGGACCTGCCGGACCTGCTGTCAGAAGTGCTATGAGTCCAGCTGCTGCCAGTCGAGTGAGGACGAAGTGGAAATTCTGGGACCTTTCCCTGCCCAGACCCCTCCCTGGCTGTAAGTACACCTGCTTTGAACCTCCTTGAAAGTGGACTCAGACCTTTCCTTCCCAGCGAGGGTTGGTGGGGGTGAAAGAGGGTCTGGTGAACTTCCAGCCGATGGGCATGCTCTGTTTTATTTGGCAAGCTGGCGAGACCAGCTGGTCACGGAGCTCGAGTCCAGCCAGCTCCTGAGCGGCGAGCCGTGTGATGCTAAGAGAGCGGGCACGTGGAGCCACCGAGCCGTGCCAAGTGGCGGGCGAGAGAGCTGTGCGCACCTCGAGTGTCCCAGGTCCTAAAGGTCGCCATCCCAGCGGGTCCGGCCAAGTGTCCCAAGCACCTGATCCCACGCTTGGCCCGGATCGGATGCCCGATAAATACTTGTTGCTGGGATAGATGCAGGGAACAAATGAACAAGTGGTTTTTTGCTGTCCTGCGCGAGAACTTGAGAAATGGGGAAGCAGAAAGGCGATGCCAGGCTCCATCCTGTCCTCCAACGCTGTTTATGTTCTCTCGGCATCTTTCATTTTATTTCCAATTCGTTCTCCTCCCGCGCCTGCATACAACATCTCCATCTGCCAGTCGCTCAGATATTTTGGGACTGCGGTTTGGGAGCTTCTCAGCCACATGTCGGGTCCACCTCTCTGTGGCTGAGAGAGGAACGTGGCCAGAGCCCAGGGTGGGTCCAGGCTAGAGGAACAGTGTGGTCAGGCCTGGAAGTATCAAGTGTAACTTCTTTTGGCGCAGCTGGGGGTGGGGGCAGGGCAGTGCCCAGTGCCCAGGTTGGAGCCCCAGCAAGGGCCCATGCCATCTCAGACACACCCAAGGGCCCAGACTCTAGAGCTCTGTGGCGGACCCCCTTTCCCTCCAAGTTGGGGGTCATGCCTTGATCCCCCGATTTTTCTCTTAGAAGCAAGTATTAAATAGTTCCAAGGTAAATGGGCTCCATGTGTTCAAATCCTGTTTCCCCGCCTTATTTCTAGTTCTGTAATCTTGGGCAAGTTGCTTGAGCTCTTTGTGACTTGATTCCCTATGTGTAAAATGGGGATGACAGAAATAATAATAGTCTGTATCTCAAAGGCTTGTTATGGTGATTGCACGGACAGATAGATAGGAAAGTACCTGAGACTGTTGGACAGTTTTTTAATTCTCATAAAGGTGCATGATTCTTTTTATTCTATTTTAGCCTCGGTTTCTGCATCTGTAAAGTGGGACCAACAGTAGAACTTCTAGGGCCATTATTAAGATTAATGACTTATGCCCAGAGTGTGCTTGGCACAATACTGAAGGTTCATTTCTATCATTATTGGGGATGAGATTCTTTAAACTGATGCCAGTACAATCTTAAGGAACTCTTCTGTCTTCCTGGGTCGTAACCTGAATCCTCCAAGTGTGTGTAAAGTGGAGCTGTTTGGTGAAACCAGGCTGTTAACCAAGAGATCATTCCCACTTTCCAGCGCCCTGTGTGGTGGAGGTGGGCACCATCTGGTGTCTTTGACTCCATGCTCAGGAGAATGCCAGCTCCGTGAGGACAGGGCTCAGCTGTCTTGTTCATGCAAAAACTCCTCACTGTTGACCGACTGACTAACCTCCAGACAGAATTGGCTCTCGAGAGTGCTGGTCACCCAGGTGCAGAGTGAGTCTCGGCCTTTGTTAGCTCTTTCTGAGGCAGACTCTGTGTGCCAGACTGCAGTATACAAAGGCCAGGGAGAGTCGCTTCCTGTGCTCGGGGCATCTAAAACCCACTCTAGGTGAAAAGCAAGTACCTCAACCCTGTTGCCTTGAGAGCTGTGCATTTACATCCTGCATGCCCAGATGCCACCCTCCTCGAATCTTGTTACGGGAAAATCCAGCAATATTCCTCAGACATTGCTGGATCCAACACTCCAGGGATGCCTGGTTGTGTTCCCTGTTTCTTCTGTGTTGATCTCAGTCTTAGACTTGCTTTCTTCTTCACCTTATTCTGAGCAGCATCAAAAAAGACGCACTGCCTTCCTGTCATGTGTCAGTTACGTTCAAGTAGAGGACATGGTGTGTGGGTCAGGTCTGGGGTACCTGACCACTCCACAGTCAGGGAAAGGTCCCTTCCATCTGAAACATACAGACCAGGCTAGTAAACCAGAGATTGGTAAAGGTTTTTCTATGAAGGGACTTAGAGTAAATATTTTGGCTTCCTGGGCTTCATCTCAATCCAACCACTTATCATTGTAGTGTCAAAGCAACTGCACGCGGTTGATACATGGGTGAGTGTGGCCGAATGCCAGAGTCCTTCACTTGCAAAACCAAGCAGTGGACTCGGCCTTGTCATGCATTGACCTTCATAATAGACAGTTTGGTCTGTGGCTGAATCCAGGACAGTCAAACAGACATGAATAGTGGCGTGAATCAGAACCTTTGTGTGTGTGCAAGCTGAGTATGTATGAGGCTCTTGACCACCAGATTGACAAATACAGATTTTCTTGTGATCGGTGGAGATCCCGGATGTGCATTGAAAAGTGCTGTCAGGCACCTGTGTGTCCCCACACCCTGGAGGTGAGTGTTACAGGTACATAGCGTAGGCGCCGACACTGAGTTGGAGGGCAACTGTGCTTTGCTCTGGCTGCGTTGCTCTTTCTGGGCAGAGACTTCTTTGGTTTTGCCGCCAGCAGAGAAGTGGACAGAACTTTCCCAACCTACCATACAGCCCCTCCCCCCCCCAGGGGCACCACCCACCTGGTGTCCTGACAGCATCCCTGAGTTGTGCAGTCACCAGCATGAGGAGCTGTCCATGGTCTCAGTGCTTCCCTGGATGAGCCAGATCTCGCTGGAACTCCAGGCAATACTTAGCGTGTTTTTAGCACTCAACATAATGGAAAATGTTAAGAATGTGTACAGGGGAAGCGGGCGGGTTCAATCATTCAAAAAGTGAATTTACAGCTTGTGTTTTCCCCAGATTTATTTACCAAGTGGGCAGTTGCATGTTATCAAACAGCAGGGAGTAGAAATGTCAAGTGAACAGCTCTGCAGTGCTGTGTCTATTGTGACATTTGAGCCAAGAACCAGAGGACATGTCTATTTGCAAGGTGGCTTGTGGCAGATGGGCTCACCCTTTGTATGTGTGATTTTGAGGGGAGGGACACACCATTCATTTTCACATATGCTTCCTTCCGGTGGGACCCCCAGCTTTCCTGGGCTGGGCTGAACTAGTGAGTGTCAGGAAAATGTCAATATACATGATCCTTTTGGGGCATTGCCAGAAATATTCACAGTGAAGAGCAAATTGAGGTCATTTGTCCAACAAGCATGTCTTGAGTACCTACTGTGAACAAGCTCTTGCAGATCTCTCAGGGGGTGCCTAGCAGTGTGGAGGGCTCCATGGGCTTCTTCCACATCACAGTGGTGCCAGTGAACTCTCCCGCCCCATACCCCACCCCAAGCTTCCATTACCCATTCTGAAGAGGCACTTAATAGGTTGCTCAGTACCTCAGCACCTTGATCATAAGTCTCACCACTAGAAGCATGCCAGGCACAGGAGGGCTGCCAGGTACTTAGATCATGGTGAGAGAAATCAGGTAAGATCCACAGGAAGGGTGTATCCATACATCCTGTCGTCATTCATTCATTCAGAAAATAAGCATGGAGTGCCCCAAGGTGCCAGGTGCTATGCCTTCTTGACAGGATTGAATAAGCAGCTGTGGCTTAGTGTCAGAGGCACAAGATCAACTAGCCAGTCAAAACGAAAGGTGACTGGTGCACAGTAAAGGAGATGCACAGATAAGGGGTGATGGGTAGGGATGGGGGTAGGCACAGCCCTTGAGACTGAGACCCGATTGATGAGGGAACCAGAGGGTTGAAGATACCGGGAAAAGCATTCTGGGTAGAGGGAACAGCATGACTCAGAGTGATGGAGGAGGGGCAGAGAGGCCTGGTGGCTGCAGGGATCTACTCGGGCGAATGCTGGTCTTGTGTCTGAGGACTCAGCTAAGGCTGCAAGGGGCGATGGCATTCAGGCTGATCCTTGGAGACAGCTGGGACTTCCCAGGTGGAGGTGACTCAGTGGCCATACGTGTTAGTCTTGCCTTGGTTGGAAAATACTGCTGCTTTCGCTGCGATCCTGGTTCCTTCCCCACATGTCATCTGCAAAGTGCACCTTTTACACATCAGGATGGGGCAGTCAGGACCGGGGCACCCTCCCCCCTTATATAACTTGCCCTGTCTTGTCCTGACTGTGACCCTTGTGAAATGTGGGAGCTTATCAAATCAGCCCCATATCATGCCCAGAGGCATCTGAAGACCCCGTAGAATTTGAAACTTGCATTTTTCTAGACTGGTTTACCCTGCAGGCTTAAATGTCAACTTCAGAGGGCTGTGGCCTCAGAAGCTATCTGTTCACAAGCCTTGAGAGCTTAGGGGCTTGTAAAGCAGCAGTGATCTCGAGACTGCATTGCCAGCTTTTCCTCTCCTCTGGCACCCCTACCTAGCTTTATGAGTATCGGGGATCTGGGAACCGCCCTGCTCTAAGGCCAGCTGAAGTGTATCGAGCGCCTGAGAAAGCTGCCAGCCACTGTTCTAAGCATGTTGGGTGTTTTAGCTCTTGGTGTTCACAGCAGCCATCCGGGGTGGGGGGAGGGTGTCCGATGGGGCAGATGGGGGACAGAGGCACAGAGAGCAGAGTCTTGCCAAGGTCGGCAGGCAGGGTTCATAGCCACAGAGCGTGAGATTAATTGCTCCTCTAGATCATCTGTCCCCACCCACCCCCACGCCGGTGGTGCTCTTCATTTTTCGCCTCTCCTCCTCCTCCTCCTCATCCTCCTCCTCAGGAACACATTGAGTCAGAACTGCTGCTAATTCACAGCTGTTTCTTCACTTGGAACTATTGGTCTTAAATTAGTGATTCTCAGGGCCCCTTCATAGCTGTAACTCTGCCACTCAAAGAGCCCTTGAGTGACACACTGTTACAGGATTTTTTTTTTAAGATTTCTTTTTTATGCATACAGAACTGGGGTGCAGGCCAGAGGTGCAGGGGCGGTGAGACACAAAGTGGGGAGCACAACAGGCCAACGGAGGAGGTACACTGCTGAGGGGAGCAGCGGACCGGTCAGGAGAGATCTGCCACGCCCTGTGGGTCACCTCCGGGGCTGGGTTTCGAACTCATGGTGAGGTGGCTTTAGCTTCTTAGTGCTGTGCTTTAACACGCTGCGCCACCAGGGAGGGCCCTACAGGATATTTTTAAAAGATGTGCAATTACAGACGTGGGACCACTCACTGAAATCCACTCAGCGAAGTTCGGCTGTGTAGAATCCTGGCAGCCCTGGCTCTGCTCAGTGGCGCCCCTGCGTGGCAGGTCGCAAATGCTCCCCATACCCTCCTCTAGGGCCCCGCTTTGAAATGATGCCGCCTTGCATTACAGTACAAAACTAGGAAACGTTTGTTCATACCATTGCATCTTTTGTGCAAAATAAAGCAAGATGTGGCCCTCCCTGGTGGTGCAGCGGGTTAAAGCACAGCACTAAGAAGCTAAAGCCACTTCAGCATGAGTTCAATTCCCGCCTACCCCGTAGATGACCACATGGCGCAGCAGACCTCTCCTGACCCGCCCGCTGCTCCCCTCAGCAGTGTACCTCGTTGATCTGCCTGTTCTGCTCCCCACTCTGTCTCTGGTGAATCCACTCACCCTCTGCATCTCTGGCCTGTAACCCAGTTCTGTATGAATAAGTAAATAAATCTTTAAAAAAAAAATAAAGCAAGATGTGACTGAGAGTTCAAGTGACACCGCGCTGTCTTCTTCAGAGACCTAGAGGCCAGCCTGGGGAGGGGGGTTCTTTAACAACCACTGAGCCGTCTTCCCTCCGCTAGGGTGACGAGCCGGAGCAGCGACAAGGACGGGGACTCAGTCCACACGACCAGCGATGTCCCACTCACCCCGCGGACCAGCTCCCCTGACCGGAGATGCTCTTCCTCGGACACGTCCAAGTCCGCTTACAGCCTGACGCGCAGGATTTCAAGTAAGCGCCCTCCGGGGACCGCCGCGGGGCCAGGCGCCGCGTCAGAGTCCAGGAATCCGGATGCCATTCTCTGGGTCCCTGGGCCAAAGGCAGAGTCTTCCCCCAAAGACTCCCCCAGAGACTCAGCAACGTCCCCAAGGAAAGATGTGAAGGGCAGGGATGTCCCCGGGAGGGGTGGGAGGAGTGACAATCCAGGCGACAAGGAAGATAAGGGCAGTGTCAAACGAGAGCACTGCACCTGATTTTTGCTGAGTCTAGCCAGAAGCGATCGTTTCGATTGATTTTGGCTTTTGGTGATCACAAGTGGCATTGAATTGGCTCAGCTGCTTGGCGTGGCCAATGTCCGTCATTTCAGACCTCCAAGGGGGAGGGTCACCGTAATATACAGCAGGGTGACAGATGCAGGGGACTTCAGGGCCTGGGGTGGTTGTGACAGGGACTGAGTGCAGGGGGTTGGACAGAAAGATGTCACCTCCACCTCAAGAGGATGCTGGCAGGGGAGGGGGAAGGGGTTGGCCAAGCTTGGCGCCCCATTTCAAGGAGAACTGTGATGCCTGGTCTCGCTAAGGGGAAACTGGCCATCTGGGTTTTCGAAGAGACTCTCTTGCTTTCAAACCCAAACAAAATGTGTGTATGGGCTGAATTTGACCCAGTTGGTCTCGATGTGCTTACGTGTTTGACCATATGACATGACTGAGATGCGGAGGAAAAGGAAAATAAAGCCCAAATGACACGCCCTGTGCGTCTGCTGTCAAGCCTGCAATTCACTTAATGAAGAAAAAAGCTTCAAATTCATGAAATGCCCACTCGAGTGGGAATGACGGGTGCCTGGTCTTGCTGGGAGTAGATGGGAAAGAAAAAAGAAGCAGTGAACAGCTTGAAGTAGTGAAACAGCGATGGTGGGCTCGTCTGGGCTGTCGTCCCAACTGTAAAATGAGAGGGCCGGTCTCCACCTCCGCTATCCAGCCAGTAGCCACTGGACATGCATTCTGGAGCGCCCCCCACTGGGCCAGCCCAAAGAATCAGAATCGAAAGCTGCTGTACATGTAATGTACATGGTGGAGCTCTGAGAATAAAAAAAGGAAAATTGAAAGGATTGAACATTCCTAAAATGTTCTTATATTGATTATATACGGAAATGGTCATGTTTTATATAGTGTCAGATAAGTAAAAGATGACAGTTTTTACCTGTTTCTTCACACTTTAAAAAAAAATGTGGTCACTGGAAAATGTTTTTTTTTTTTGAAAGGTTTTTATTCATTTATGCATACAGAACTGGGGTACAGGCCAGAGGTGCAGGGCTGGTGAGAGGATTCACCAGAGACAGAGTGGGAAGCAGAACAGGCAGATCAACGAGGTACACTGCTGAGGGGAGCAGCAGACCAGACAGGAGAGGTCTGCTGCCCATGTGGGTCACCTCTGGGGCAGGGGATGGAACTCACACTGAAGCAGCTGCTGTTTGGCTTAGCTCAGCAGGGCGGCACTCCAACCCACTGCGCCACCAGAGAGGGCCCAAGTCACTGGACAACTTTAAGTGACCTATGTGACCTATATTTTGGATCTCCTTTACAGTTCTCTTGGGTGACGCTGGACTACATGATTCTTTAGTGTCAGGCCCAGTTCTGTACACAGGTGAATTGTGTTTAGTGCACAGGTATCAAAATAGTCACCACATACTAGGCAAGACATGACTTTATCTGGTAAGACGGTGTCCGGCAAAAGTGCTATGCAGGAGCAATTACTACAGGGCGGCACTTCTGTATGGAATCCAGGTCAAATGCATGGGGTAGAGAGGAGACTGGCCACCAGGGGGTGCTGCAGCAGAGAGGGTTTCAGTGCGCAGAGAGGACATTAGTCTAGCGCTCTCACACTTTGTGGTGCAGTGAGCGATGCCAGACCACACACTGACTTTTGCTGAGAGCTTGTGTTATGTGTTCTTAAGTGAAATAATAAGATGGGAACAAACTTTGGGGTTGGATAGATTTGTGGCATCAATTATGCTGATTTATCGCCACACTCTTCAAGTCGTGTAATTAAACACATACAGCTTTTGTATGTCAATCACACATCAGTTAATTGTTGGGGGAAAAAGGAGTGGCATGAGCTCATTGCTAGAGTGGAATGATGGGCTTGGAACAATGGACTCAGCTAGCTGATGAGAAGAGGAGCGGCACCCCAACAGTGAGGGGGCCTCAAATGGTCTCTAAAGGACAGTAGTGACCGCTCACTGCGTTCCTGCCATGTGCAAGTTCAGTGTCAAGGCCTCTCATGCTCAGTGAATTCACCCGTCGTTGAGACAGATGCTCAATTGACTCCATTTTACAGGGGAGAAACGGAGTCCCAGGGCGTCTAAGGAATGTTCTGGGATCACATGACTAGTGAGTCACTGGCTCACTAGGAGGTGGCAAGCTGGAATTTAACCCAAGCGCTCCAGCCCACTCCCTGACTGTGGAGGGTAGAGGTTGGGCGCTGGCCTGTGGCACTGGCAGGCTGGGCTGGACTCCTGGCTCCTCCTCTCACTCATGGTGTGACCTCTGGCAAGTTTCTGTGTCTTCATCTGTAAAAAGGGATGATTTTATCTCATCCCTGATGAAGAGGAGATGACTTGTATGTGCAGTACATTTTGAAGCTGCATTCCACCCCAGTGAAGAGGGCCAGGTCACTTGGCTGCCTCTCCCACAAAAAATAAGAGGGCTTCAGGGTGTGGGGGAGCAGGTGGCAGTTAGCATTATGGCCGACTGGAGAGTCTGTGGGAAAGGGTGCCAAACCCCCCCCCCCCGGGTGGCGGTGCTAATTGTGCTCTCTGGCGACTGTCTAGGTCTTGAGCCCCGACGACCCAGCTCCCCACTCATTGATATTAAGCCCATCGAGTTTGGCGTTCTCAGCGCCAAGAAGGAGCCCATCCAGCCCTCGGTGCTCAGACGGACCTATACCCCGGACGATTATTTCAGGAAATTCGAGCCTCAGCTCTATTCCCTCGATGCCAACAGCGACGACGTGGACTTCCTGACCGACGAGGAGATCTTGTCCAAGTACCAGCTGGGCATGCTGCACTTCAGCACCCAGTACGACCTGCTGCACAACCACCTGACCGTGCGGGTGATCGAGGCGCGGGACCTGCCGCCCCCTGTCTCCCACGACGGCGCCCGCCAAGACATGGCGCACTCCAACCCCTACGTCAAGGTCTGCCTGCTGCCAGACCAGAAGAACTCCAAGCAGACGGGCGTCAAGCGCAAGACTCAGAAGCCGGTGTTCGAGGAGCGCTACACCTTCGAGATCCCCTTCCTGGAGGCGCAGAGGAGGACCCTGCTGCTGACCGTGGTGGACTTTGACAAGTTCTCGCGCCACTGCGTCATCGGCAAGGTGTCCGTGCCGCTGTGCGAGGTCGACCTGGTGAAAGGCGGGCACTGGTGGAAGGCGCTGATCCCCAGTTCTCAGGTAAGGGGGGTCGCCTCGCCTCCTCCCGGGGCTTTAAGGAGCAATGATTTGCATCTGGGGATGGCAAATTTTTTGTATTTGAAGACCTTTTATAATTAAAAATAATTCAAAGTATTTTGAAATCGTTTCGACTTAGAGGATACAAACACAGGACAGAGAGTGCTCATGTGGTCCTCATCCAGCCCCCAGTGACAGATCTTACACGAGCAGAGGGCATGCCCGTCGGAAATAGACGTTGGTAACATGGGACAGACCTTGTTTAGTTTGCACTGGATTGACTTGTGCATGTGTGTGTGTTTCTCTGGCACTTTCTTTTATTTATTTTTTAAGATTTATATTATTTATGCATACAAGATCTGGGGTACAGGCCAGAGGTGGGGGGGGTGAGAGGATTCGCCAGAGACTGGGGGGAGCAGAACAGGCACATCTACTGACATACACTGCTGAGGGGAGCAGCGGGAGGGACAGGTGAAGTCTGCTGTACCATGGGGTCAGCTCCCTGGCTGGGGATCGAACTTATACTGCAGTGGCTGCAGAAAGCTTAAAACCGGTTTGCTATCAGGGAGGCCCACTCTCTGGCATTTTATCACATGGATATTCATGTAGAAGAGGAGGACGTGGCCACTGTAGAGGCTGCTGGCTCATGGCAAAATAAGCTGTTGGGTCCTTTCACCTGGGGATGCAGCTCGTGGTCTCATTGCTAAGGATTGGCTGAAAGATCATGGAAATGAAGGCAGGTTGGTGCTAGGGCTTTGGGTATTGTTAAGCTGTTGAACATGGAAATGAGGATATAGAATCAGCAAATGTGTGGGTCCATGGCCTGGGTTTGAAGTGACGCTGGTTGTTAAGAGACATTCTGCTCAGCCAGGTGGTGAGCAGTGTGTCAAGTAGAGGGACCCTTTAGCCGCTTAGAGTCTACCGTGCAGGCACAACTTTTTAAAAAAATTATTTAATAGTTACAGCCAAACATATATACATAAAATTGACCATCTTACTGATCGCTGAGAGTACGAGTCAGTGGTGGAAAATACACTCCTCTTGGCGTGGCCGTCCCCACCATCCATCTCTAATGCTCTTTTTCATCTCACGAAAAGGAAGCTTGATGCCTATTGCACAATAATGTTTCACCTTCCCCCCTTTGCTTCCAGCCCCTGGCAACTGCCACTCTGCCTTGTGTCTATGAACTACTGTAGGGCCCTCAGATCCGTAGCATTGTGCGATGCTGTTTTGGGGACAGGTCATTTCCACTGGCGCTCATGCCCTCCAGGTTCCTCCGCAGGGCAGCATGTGTCAGGCTGGCCTTCCTTTTGAAGGCTGAATAATATTCCATCGTGTTATCGATCACATTTGGTTTGTTCATTATTCTGTCTATTGTGGACACTTGGGTTGCTTCCAACTTTTGGTTTTTGTGAATAATTCTATGAATGTACATGCACATGAATGTACAGACATTTCTGCATTTTTTTTTAGCCATAAAAGTATTATGATCTCTTGTATTCATATGGTTTTGGCATGGAAAGGCAGTGGGGATATCAGCTCCCTGTGGACAGGCAGCTCCTCACGCGACATTAAAAAGGCCTGGGTTTCCTGTTCCAGCCTGTTCACACTTTGGTTGGCCTCAGTTTGCTCATGTGACGGGAGATATAGCACCTGTCACCTTCCCTCTGGTGCATTTGTGGGGGTAGAGGCCATCATCTTACTGTTCCAATGGTCAGCGAAGAACCACACAACAGTGGTCCCGTAGGCCACATGACCTCTGTGACATTCCCACAACCACAAAACCACATAGTGACTCACATCCCCCATCATTAAGTGATACCTGAACATCAACTCTTCATGGGAAACAGTAGCCTCTAGAGATCACAATCCCTCAACCCGAGGTAAAGTATTATATGTAAAAATGCTGTATGATTATGAATTATTTATTTAGCCTGTGAGTATCTGTTAGCTGCTTCTCAGTAGTGAGGCCCACTTATGGACACTACTCAGGCACATCATAGATTGGATTCCAGACACCCAGTAAAACAAACAGCCAATAAAGGCTTTCCAGTGCATATAAATATTACATGTATACTATACTATAGTACATTAAGGATGGGATACCGCTGTGTCTAAAACTCCTTAATTTATAAATACTTGGTTGCTTAAACATATGAGTCACCATCTTAGTCTTGAGCAAGTTGTAATCTTTTGGGTCAGCGGGCTCATAAGAAATGCAATTATCTGCAAGGTGCAATAAGATGAGCACTAACATGTTAGTGTCTACTCTGAGCCAGAGAGTTCTGTGTGATTTATACGTGCTCATGCATTTTTCCTTGCCAGGGCCCAGTTTCAGGGGGACTAGGCAGAGATAAATTAAGTAATTGTCTGGGTACTGGGTGGTGGAACCAGGTATCTTTGACTTAAAAAAAAAAAAGATGTGCTGTGACCGTGCCATTAGACATCTCTCTAGCAAGCACAAGGGGAGTCTCTGCCCTCATGGAGTTTGCAGTCTAGTGGAAGGAGACACACAGCAAACAGCTGAGTCAACGAATAATGCTCTGTTAAATAATGCGTCAAATAATTGAAGTAATTAATTAGTTAACTTTTCATTACATTAAGTAATAATTGCATTTCTATGATATTTAAGAACCTATAGAGCCTATAGGTGAAAAGACCAGCACAGTGGATATGCTGGGGTAGATGGGGAGAGGGTTGACCAGAAATGTCTAGACTAATAGACATTGTCTATGCCCAGAGGAAGACAAAAAGCAGGGCAGGGTGGGAAAGGGATTGTAAGTGGGTGAGGCGATGATATGGAAGTAGGGTGCTGGGGGCATGGGGATAGAGCCTGGAGGATCTCTGGGGAAAGAGTATCCCAGGCAGAGATTGAAGATGTGCAAAGGCCTGAGACAGGAGCTGGCTTAGCTTATGGCAAAACTAGTAGAGGGAGGGAGGGAGAGAGCTTCAGCTGGGGTAAAGGCCACATCCTGTGGTACTACAGGCTAAGTTGGGGTAAAGGCCACATCATGTTAAGACTTGGATTTGAGTCCTAAGTATGGTGGAAGTTTCGAGAATAGGGTCACCCAACCAGGCCAGGCCCTGCAGAGAACTCACTGTGGAGTTCAAGTACCTTGAGTGACAAGGTACTTACATCCCAAATACTTAAAGAATCCAAGAACTCAAAACTAAAATACAAACCCTAACTTAAGCACAGCAACAGTTTTAATTAAAAAGATACTTCCGGAAGAAGACATAGGCACGGTCTCCAGGCTCCTCCAACTCCCCTCACCCCCAATCTGAGAGTAGATCCATCTGTTTGGTGGCCTGGCAAGTTATGCTTTGGGACTGGGAGTGATATCACCACTCCTTTGTATGGAAAAATTTTGGCCTCAGAACGCCCCCCAACGTAACTCCTATTCTCCGCCCACTCCCTACCCCCCAAGCACGTACCTCCTATTTCTTCCTTCCTTCTTGGGCACTTACAAGGAGCTCAGTGGGTGTTTCTTGAGTGGAGTAACTGTCCTGTGTAAAGAGGGCTGGCCTTGCATTAGACCGAGTCTATTGTAGCTCCACGTTTGTCTTCACCAGTGTGAACTTGAGTCCAACTTCTCACCCATGAATTCAGGACTAGAATTGCCAGTGCAGGGCGGGAGGGTTGGGAAGGGCTGTGCAGACACCAGTGGTAACTTCTGTTGCACCCACTGTGTGCCGGCACGATGCTATCGCACGAACTCTTCTCATCCTCCCATTTTATGGGTGAGAAACCTGAGGACTATGTTAATTTGCCCAAAGCTACAGAGCTGGGGTTTGAACCCAGCTGTCAACTCCAGAGACTGTGTACTTAGCTGCTCTGCCCCATTCCCTGGCCTCTTACAGGCCAGGTGGGCAAAGCCCCTGGCAGGTACCAAACACAGAATAGGGAGAACTGGGAATTTAGAGCCTGGGAGGCGGGGAGGAGGCAGCAAGAAGGGAGAATGCTAACGGTGGGAAGGGAGGCTGGGAGCCATTGAGACTGAGGCCATGAGGAACCGGCCTTGGGATTTGGTTCGAGTTTCAGGAAATGCCTCTCTGGTGTTTACTGTGCCCCAGACAGACAGAACTAGAAGGAATTTAGGACACTTTTTTAAAAAGGGAAATAGTGTTATTTTTCTCTGCAATAAAAGGAGGTGACCATTGTTCCGTGTTCTCTTGCAAGGACCTGGGAACTGTCTGGAGGGATACGTTTGCTCAACTGCATTTTGTGTTTTGAGATGACTCCCTGCCTGACACTAACAAGCAAGACCCTTGACAAGGCAAATGTCAGTTTTTGTAATGAGACTCCCACTTCTCAGCACTGACCTGTCACAATGCTGTCTCTGTGTATTCAACGGCTCTCCTGCCCGGCTTGGTCGACAGCCGTGTTTCGACAACACTGTGCAGCCAGGCCAGACACTTTCAAGGCAGCATTAACTAGAAGCTTCTTTTCACGAGATCCTTCTTGTTTTCTTCCTCCTGAAATAGAAGTGGACTTTACATTTCAGGCCTCAACGCCTCAACAAGAGTTTCCGATCCTAGTTGCAGCATGAACTGGAAGGGAAGCCAGAGATGACCTAGACCAACTTATTTTATAGGTGAGAAAACTGTAACACAGAAAGGTTGGTTGACTTGCCCCAGGTCACACAGTCACACAGACCTGGCTCAGGCCCTGGTTTTACTACCTTCGAGAGGTGTTGGCCTGGCGAGTTAACTCAATCACTAAGCCTCAGCCTCCTGGCCTGTGAAATGGGCCTCAGGTAGTATCCTAACAACTGTGCCTCACAAAGCCCATTTTTTCAAATTATTATGAATTTTGCAAGCCAGCTGACCAGGTAACTTGAAGTCAGCCATTGTGTGCGAAGTCAGCAATCGAAACAATCAGAACTTTTCCGCTAAAGTGTCACCATTTCCAGCCCCCGGGGGGGCACCGTGCTTACCTCGGAGGGTTTCACGGGCAGCGGGGCCGGCCCGTGTATACAGTGGAGCCACAACATGGCGGAGCA